AAATAATGATGAAAATTTAAAGCTGTACTTTTGGGGCAAGACGTCAGTAAAAACACTGGGAACGAAGCCCCTTTTTACAATACTTTAGTTTAGTAATATTACTAAGATACCTCTACTACAACTACTCATATTAATGATAATAATAATAATAATAATAATAATAATAATAATACAAAGCTGAAGAAGCAGAAAAAGAACAATACCATTAAATGAATGCATTTTAGTGCAGTTCTATATTGTCATAATAACAATTTAATATAGTCACAATAACTTTTTGTCAGATAATACATTTAAAAATACATTTTAAAATAGATTTACAAAAAAGACATTAACTTTTTTTTCATTTACTGTCATTTGTTTTTGTATTTCTTAATGTTGTGTAGATACAAATATGTCTTTACTTTATAAAATTGTGACATTAATTAATTAATTAATTTATTTATTTATTTATGTATTTATGTACTTATTTATTCATATAATTTGCCTCACTTTTCAAGTTGCATTTCCCAATATACTTAATTTAAAAAGACACAAGCTATTTAAAGTCCCCTTCATATACAAATAAGTATTAAACCATGAACAAAATGTTTCATATTTTATTTAATATAATTCTATTCATTGTTCTTTTTTTGTATTACATGCAAAACTATAATTAAAAATGACAAAATCTATGAAACTCATTCAAATAGAAGAAATTGAGTGTTGGCTCTGGGTTTTTGTAAGCCGTGTTCATTAGTTAGTGTCACTGTGAGGCTCTCGCACAGTAATACACAGCTGTGTCTTCAGTCTGCAGATTCTGTCCTTGTAATGTTATTGTGTTGGTTCCAGTGTTTCTGGAGATGCTGAACTTGTTTTTCAGTTTATCACTGTAAGCTGTGCTCCCACCACTATTGATGTATCCTATATACTCCAGAGTTTTTCCTGCAGGCTGGCGGATCCAAGCTGTAGTATAGTCTGTAACTGAATATGAAACCTTGCAGTTGATTGTCAGACTCTGGCCTGGACGGACCACCATGGAACCAGGCTGAGTCAGTTCTCACAGTGAACAGCTGTAGATCAAAAATACAAAGTTATTATATCATCTTGGACAAACATTAAACAGCATTCTGACTGAGTGAAATATGTTCTTTACTCACAGGATGCAGCTGCCAGCAGGAGCAGTAGAGATGTAGAGAACATGGTTGGTGTTGAAGTTGGACCTGTGGGATCTTCTCTGTTCTCCACAGCTTTATAGAGAGTGTCTTCTAAATAGAGAGAGATTCAGGGAGGGAGCTTGTATTTGCTTATCTAATGAGCCATGAAGGCCAAACCTATTTAAGACACAGAGTCAAAGGCAGTGGTTTAATTCAGTGCATGCTAAGAACTGATTCTTAATAAAAGCAATCTTTTCATTTAAAGTACAACCCCAATTCCAGAAAACTTGGGACGCTGTGTAAAATGTAAATAAATGTAAATAAAAACAGAATGCAGTGATGTGCAAATCTCATAGACCCAAATTATTCATCACAATAGAACATAGAACACATATCAGACATTGAAAGCAAGACATTTTACCACTTCATGAAAAACATTAACTTTTAGAACTTGACATCAGCAACACATCTTAAAAATGTTTAGACATTTTAGACATCGTCTCAACTTTTTTGGAATTGGGGTTGTTAAGATCACAATATAATGAGCGTCAGAGAATCTTCTCAAAGCATCAACTGTTGAATCAAATGAAATGAAACTGATAATAAATGCACATTTAATATGTTTACTTCAGGTTTGTTAACCGCACTGCTGTGAATATTTAAACAGCTTGCTCATGTACATCCACCTCCAACCCTTCTCATCCCTCATTTCAGAGAAATACACCTCTCTCTATTGCCCTCTGTCTATAAGTACAGAAAGGGATTTGATGAAAAATGTGCATAATAAATCAATGATGAGAACAAATTCAGCTCTGGCTTTAAGGGCATCAGTGAGTAGACACTCCTACTGATGTATGAATAAAACTTTAGCACATCTCTGTACCTGAAATATGTTCTTTTTTATATTTTGTGTGTTCAGGAACTGTTAAACCATCATGTGTGATTTCCTGTTTCACTGGGGTATAAATATGAGGTGACAAGGAGGCCAAATTTCTTTCATTCATTAGCACAGGGAAGATTATAGCACACACAAATGAAATGAGATCAAATGTTTTGACTTGCATAAATTTGATATTGAAGATGAAAAATAACTACCCCTCTGAAAGTTCTCACATTTATCATTAGGTCAGTTGGGAACAACCAGAGCTGTAGAGAAACTGCCTAGAAGAGGATTCAAGTGTGTTTTGCCTCCAAGCATAGTTTAGGGTTTGTGATTAGAGATGATCTTAAACTACAATTAGCTACTATGTCAAAGCATACAAACTATATGTAAGGCATGCCAGAAGAAAGCCTTTTATTGTGTCTAACCAAAAATGTAAATACCTGGAGTTTATTAGAAGTTGCTGGTGTTCATAGACAATGATGATGAAATGTTTTTCACTCCCAGTGTTTCTCATCTATAATTCAAAAGCAGTACCTACATTCCTTATATTCAATAAGGAATATAGGTACTCAAAATATATAAAATGTAATATCTCAAACAGGAAACCATTAGTATTAGATGCTATTATACAGATTCTTATATAAAGAGTATATTAAAAAGTTAATAACACAAACAGTGCAGCTACAGATGACTTACATTCTCTAACTGTACTCATGCACACTGTACAAGCTTAACAAGTTGGATGTGTCTAATAAAGTAATAACATAAAATAAAACAAAATAAAAAACAAATAGGAGGTGCAAAGTACATACGTTGGCCTAACAATGGCCACATTCATTAAAATATCAAAAAGTATCTCCATAAAAAAACAAGAAAGTAAGGCATATATGCCACTCTCATAAAGTACTTTATTTTATTATAATTCACCAAATTACAAGAAAATATATCACTATTGTTGGAAAAACTCATCATTTTTTAGTGTTTGACATCATTTGAAAATGCCTTTTCCATGAAGAATTGACCAAAAGAAAAGGCCCAAAATGACTTACATTAAAAATACAGTAGGTTTTTTCCTTCTCCTGTAAAGTTACCATTTTGGAGATACAAGGTTTTCTTCTGACAACAGCAATATGGACTATTATCCTAGGGAATTAATAGGTACAATTTTTAAAGTTCTGTATAATAATAATAATAATAATAATAATAATAATAATAATAATAATAGTATTACCTTAAATGGTAATGTTACCATGCAGATATGAAACAAATCTTTTGAGTGTAAAATAATAAATTAACTGTTTTTTTTTTTAATAATATATTTTCTTTAGAGTGAGTTCGTTGCAGAACTGTAGGTTTTTGTAAGCCGTGTTCATTAGTTAGTGTCACTGTGAGGCTCTGGCACAGTAATACACAGCTGTGTCTTCAGTCTGCAGATTCTGTCCTTGTAATGTTATTGTGTTGGTTCCAGTGTCTCTGGAGATGCTGAACTTCTCAGTTTATCACTGTAATATGTGCTCCCATCAGTATAGATATATCCAATGTACTCCAGAGCTTTTCCTGCAGGTTGTCGGTTAAAGCCTGCAGCAAGCTTGTCACTGAATATGAAACCTTGCAGTTGATGGTCAGACTCTGGTCTGGATGGACCACCATGGAATCAGGCTGAGTCAGTTCTTCACAGTGAACACCTGTAGATCAAAATACAAAGTTATTAGATCATCTTGGACATAAACATAATTTAAATAACATTCTGACTGAGTGAAATGTGTTGTTTACTGAGTAACTCACAGAATGCAGCTGCCAGCAGGAGCAGTAGAGATGTAGAGAACATGGTTTGTGTCGAGGTTGGACCTGTGAGATCTTCTCTGTCTCCTCTTCTATACACAGAGAGATTCAGGGAGGAGCTTATATTTGCTTATCTTTAACTCAGGAGAGGCAAAACTATTTAACACACAAAATAGAGTAGTAGTTTCATACAGTGCATATAAAGAACCACTTTTCTGCCTTTTTTCAACAAAGGCCTTCAGCAACTCTTTCATTAATAAAAATAAAATGTACATACTTTCACATCCTTATCCTAATTCCAGCATGTCCTCCAACACAGTGTCTGAGAAATCTTCTCAAAGCATCTCCAAAGTGTGAAACCGTATATGAAATAAAATTGATAATGACTGTTCAGGGGGAGCATGTTTATATGGTTACTTCAGTTCTGTTAACCACTGTTCTCTGAATATTTAAATTTCCTTAGTCATTCGTCAACATGGAAAAGATTAAAAAACACACACAAGAAAGCGATTAAAATGTGTGGAGTTAAATAATCACAATCAAACTAATCTACCTCTGAAAATACCATCTACATCATTACAGCAGTTAGAACAACCGGAGCTGTAGTGAACCTGCCTAAAAGTGGATGGAAGTGTAGCTTGCCCCCAAACACTGTGAGGAGGACAGTTATGGAGGCTCCAAAATTGCAATTAGATACCATCTCAATGCCAGTAAACTATATGGAATGTGTGCCAGAATAAGGCCTTTTTTGTATAACCACAAATGTAAATACCTGGAGATCTTTAGATGCTACTAGAACTTTGACTGGAATTGGGTTTTATGTTGACAGCAAATGCTCAAGTGTTTAGTGTCAAAAGAAGCATATATATTCAGAAGTGGACCTAATCCTTGCAGTAATGTATGGCAGAGGAGCTTTGGTAACTTGCACAGATTAGTAGCATGGACTCCCTAAAGTACCATGAAATTTTTAACGAAATCTGCCCAAAGCTAAAACTGGGTCTGGGTCTTCCAGCAGGACAGTGATCCAAAAATACAAGTTCAAGTCCACCTAACAGTTGTTAGGGACCCCTGAAATGTAGCAATCCCATTGTCCTGATCAAAATCTCATTGAGAACCTTTGGGGTGAGCTGAATAGGAGAGTCCATAAGAGGATCTAGAAACCTGGAGGATCTGGAGAGGTTCTGTATTGAGGTGAGGTCTAAGATAACTTTCTCTGTATTCTCCAATCTCATCAGGTATTATGGGTGACAACTTATTGCTGTTATGCTGACAAAATGTAGGTGTGCCAAGAACTGTGACGTATGAGGTGTTGTTTAATACTATAGTTTTTTTTTGATACAGGTTGTACCAAGGGTGGCATTAAATATGTGGCAGAATAATGCTGCATTGAGATAATTAGAAAGAGATTAGAAGGATTTAACTGGTTTGGTTTCTGGGAGAGGGGCGCACCCTACTGGATACTTTCAATAGTGAATAACACTTAGAACAGCAGTGAAGGGTCGTGGCTGATTGTTTTGTTTGCTCATCCAGTTTGAATGAAACTTGTCTCTTACTAACACAGATGTCGATGGGTTTTTGTACAGAGCTCCCACTGAGCTGCACTGCTGTGTCAGTCTTTGCACAGTAATAAACAGCCGTGTCTCCAGTCTCCAGGCTGCTGATGTCTAAGAACAGCACGTTACTGCTTGTGTCTCTGGAAATTTTGAAGCGACTCTTAAAGGAAGCTCCAGTGTCTATAGATCCACCACCCCAAATGATCCCGATCCACTCCATGGCTTTCCCTGGAGGCTGTCTGATCCAGCCTGTACCGTAATCAGAGAGACGATAGCCAGAAACCTCACAGGACAGCCTCACTGATCCTCCAGGAGGCTTCAACTGAGCAGGAGACGAGCTCAGACTGATTCCATGAACATCTGAGAGGAGGAATCAGGTCACAGAGACCATTAAACACACTGCATTTCATCTTAAACTGAAATCTACAGTGTATAAATGAGACTAAAGTCCACTTACATGGTAAGAAGGCCAGCAGCAGCAGAGAAGTCCAGCTCATCATTGCTCTGAAAGTATCTGTGATCATGTGGTTTGTTAGAGGATGTATGAGTGTGGATCTGTATTATATACACATTGTGGCAGTGTCTGACCTGCAGTGGAGCTGGAGATTTACATACTGCTTATTTCAGATGATTAAGGAGGGACATTCAGATGGGTTTCCTGGATGAACTATGAAGTTTCTACAGAGCAGTGATGTGATTCTAAAGAAGAGATCTGATATTCCAGATGTTTATATTCTAGGCAATGTGATGTGAGCAATAGAACCCGAATAATAATGTGACTAAATGCACTGGGTAACATTTTATAATAACAGGCACTTACAAATATTAAATTTATCATTATCTAATTGTTTGTTAATGATGAATAATAATTATATAGTTATGCCACTGTTCAAATAATTAACCAATTAATCAGTGAAATAAAAATAAAGTTAAGAATTATGTCTGTCTAGCCACAAAATGATACAACTTAAAGTATTAAGTGTTAATTAGTTGCATGCAATTATTAATACAAAATTCATAATAATTTTGAATAACTGCTTAGTAATTATCCTCATTAATCCTAACATTTCAAATTGTCATTTGACTTATGAATAGGCAATGAGTCAATAAGTATCAACAAACCATTATTAATCATTTAACTTTACTAATTCAAAACAATTAATAATTTCTTTATGTCACAATGTAAATGATTTATCATTCAATTGTTGGCATTTATTAATGCATAAGCAACAATTGTGCAATTATTAACAATAATTAACAATCTATGAGGTAATGATTAGCAGCTATCAGTTATTAGCTGGCAAACTAAGTTAAAACTGGATTGTGTGCTATTTTAATTACAGTCATTTGCAAAAGTTTTCAAACCCATATTTATTTGCTGAGTTTAAAATTTTGTACATATAAAATATAAAATGGCCTTCTGCCCAATGACCGCTGGCACAGGCCCCAGATACACGTGAGCTACATTCTCTAGCTGTACCCATGCACACTGTGAAAGCTCAACAAGATTAAGATTAAGTGACCCTTATTAGTCCCACAACGAGGAAATTTCACCTCTGCATTTAACCCATCCGTGCAGTGAAACACCTCATACACACTAGTGAAGACACACACACTAGGGGGCAGTGAGCACACTTGCCCGGAGCGGTGGGCAGCCCTATCCGTAACACCCAGGTTAGGGTTAGGTGTCTTGCTCAAGGGCGCTTCAGTCATGTACTGTCGGCTCAGGGGACTGAACCGGTGACCTTCCGGTTACGGGGCTGGTTTCCCCAACCTCCAGTCCATGACTGCTAGATGTGTCTAACAAAGTGATTACGTGGTCAGCAAGTGTGCACCGAGTTTAAAAACTCCAGCACCGCTGATCCACTTACATCACATCAACACACAATAAACTAGTACCAAACACACTGTTACTGCCAGCATCAGTGCTGTGTTTTACCTGTAAATTATATTTCAGACTCAATGTCACACTCAACTTCACTGTTCACCATGGCAGGAGGTAGAAAGAACTTCATAAGGAGATCCAAAAATGGAACGTGCCATTAAAAACCATACTGGAACTAAATGATTTCAGAATCATAATAACATACAGTGCACACACAGCTGGGCTTTAGGCAGGAACTATGGATGGCTTGAAGGGTCAGACTAGGAAAAGGTGTTAACGACCACTTAAAATTTAGGCTGCTAATAATGTCTTGCGTTAACTCATTATACATCTATGTAAGTTAATGGAACAAGATTTTATTCTGTGTCATTTTGAATAACTTCTGTTGGCCTGTTTTTTATAAAATGCAGATAATAACATGCTGCCATTTAAGAAAACATCTATTTATATTGTTGCCCCACAAAATCTGCAATTCCAGCTGAGTATTACTTTGGATTGACACTGAAATAATATTCTGATATGCACATTTTTTTTTTTTTCATATTCCTCCATACACTCCATAATCACTTAGTCAAAACTGAACTACAATTTTAGTGTATACTCAAGCATTTTCTATCAAGGAATTACAATTAAATAGAAAAAAAAAATCTTAATCTGGACTTAATCAGTTTCCCATTTGTTTGAAAGGGACTTTTGCCAGTATTCTGTAAAGCTTGTCCCACCAAGCAACTATTGCTATAAAAGAATGCATTTGTGGGGTGGAGCATGGAAAGGTCATGAGGACAAATGAAAGCTGAGAGGATGTGTGGACTCTACGTAAACATATTATGTGGGTAACAATATTCTGCAGTTAAGATTAGTCTGTTTTTTTCATGCCATTATCCTCTTTATTAAGCTGTTACAGAGTTCAGCTCCCTCTGTTTATCCTGTGCTCTAGTTTTTGTACAGCTGTCTGGCACAGTAATACACTGCAGTGTCTTCAGGCTTCAGTTGACTCATGTGCAGGTAGAGATTAGAGCTGTCCTTGGATGCTGTGAATCTGCCCTGAACTGACTGGATTGAGTTTTTGCTACTCTCAGAATAATAGCTAATAATCCATTCCAGTCCTTTCCCAGGAGCCTGTCGGATCCAGTGCATAGTGGTGCCCCCCAAATTGAATCCACTGCAGGCACAAGTCAGTTTGTGGGATCCACCTGGAGCCACTGTTACTGGCCTCTCAGACTGTGTGAGAACAACCTGAGAGCGGACACCTAAACAGAGACACAAAGACACAGCAGGTTAAATGTGGTCAGTCAGTTTGCTGCATTAATCTGGTTCCTCATTGAGGGAGATAACAGACTCACATCCTGCAATCAGCAGCAGCAGTAAAGACGTGAGGAACATGGTGTTTGTGGAGCTGGAGCTGATCAGAGACACCAGAAACCTGGAGATCCTCTACAAACTGTCCTTCATTCTCTCTACATATAGAGGAGTTTGATGAAGAGTTTGCATAACAGCTCAGTGATGTGAGACTCTGCTGCTCTGGCTTTAGGAGAACAATAGACAGGTTTGGTTTTTAAGTAAAGGGCTCCCCCTACTGGAATATAAATAAAACATGAGAGGATTCATTTTCCAACATCACTCAGGCTGATATTTAATCTGTTTCCTAATGTTGGAGATGCCTCAAACATTACATTCAGTCAGTGTCAGTGGGTTCAAATCTTACTGTAATGTTGAACGTCTGTAGTATAGAGTGCTGATTGAAAGTTTGTGAACCCTTTAGCATTAGGTGAATTTTACATAAATATAACTAAAATGTTATTAGATCTTCATTTAAGTCATAAACATAGACAAAGAGATCCCCGAAAAGCAAGTAATTTAAACAGATCTATTGTTTTTCATTCATTTTTTGGTTAAACATTTCATATGGAATGTCTTTGTTGGCAAAGATCTGCTTTCAGTAACTAGTGTGACCCTCTGCACGTTGACTTGGAGGACTTGACCTTACAGAACTGCTTCAGTTCTGTTATGTTGGTGGGCTTTCTGGCATTCAGTTCAAGGATGGATGCCCTAACATTCCCCTTTATTATTACTTGATACAATCCAGAATTCATAGCACCATCAGAATGATGGCAAGTTGTCCTGGTCTAATAGCAGCAAAGCAGACCCAAACCATGATACTGCCACCACCACGTTTTACATTTGGCATGAGGTTTTTATACTGCAATGCAGTGTTTGGCTTTTACCAAACTTAACATTTCTCAGTTAAGTCATAAACATTTATTTTTGCCTTGTTTGTCCATATAAAATATAACCAGATCTTCTGGCCCATGGTGGTCTTTCAGAAACTTTAAACAGGCAACAATTTTCTTCATGGAGAGTAGTGGCATTCTCCATACTATCAGTCCATATGTATTATTCTTGTTCAGTGTTTGCCTGATGGTGGACTCATGAACACTGGCATTAGCCATTTTAAGAGAGGACTACAGATGCTTAGCTGTTCCTCTTGAGTTCTTTGTGCTCTCCCAGAATATTATATTGATATTGCATATTATAATTATATTATAATATAATGCATTAGTGAAATCCAAACTCTTCAGAAAACAGACACAGATTTTGATGACTCAGGTTGATGCTTTTTTTTTAAATAGGATCAGGGTCAATAGGGTCAGTTACAGTCACATCTGATGTCATTCATTGAACCTCCTGTCTAGATGGTCACATACTTTTGCCAACTAAAATATATAATGCTGGACCATTTTATTAAATAAATAAAAAAAATATATATAATACCTTGTGTATTTAGTTTTATAGGGTATTGTTATGATCTAAATAAAGATCTGAGATCATGCTTCTGCAGAAATTCACACAAAAATGTTCACAAACTTTTAGCACTGTACATGTTGATGTGGTAGTTCAAACTTTTATAGTATAAAAAATACAAAGAATATTAAACACTGACAGTAAATATACAGTAGTGTGAAAAAGTCAGACTTGCTTTCAGTTTTTCAAGGAAATCTAGAAGGAAAATTTTCCACAGCTCCAAAGTTCAGTTCAGAAGTTGGTTTTATTTACTTGAAACGTATTCACTTTGCTTCTTATGATTCAGGTGATAAAAAAAATAATAAAATAAAATAAAATAAAACTAATAACAATAATAATAATACTAATAATAATTAGAGGAAAAAGAACAATGTAATTACGTAAATATGCATACTATTATTATGCAGTTGATACAGTCACAATTAATAAACACAATTGACATTATAAATATTTCTATGTTGCTTTTTTTTGCAGTTATTAAAATGTAGTGGAATTGTTAAAATATACATTGATAGAGGCTTCAATTTCACTTATTAGTGTATTTCCTCTAACTGTGAACAAGTTTATACGTTATTATTTTGTACTTGATAAACTCAAGCAATGATTTCTTTTAGCCTGCCTTGCAGTGAACACTGGGCCTCATTGAATAATATCTTCCTAGGTTTTTTCTTAAATATGTTCTTGGCAAAAGTCCTAAGAAAAACTCTACGTCAGATTCATGATGTGATCTTAAACTTCAGAATTGCCACACCTTTGTTCTCTTGAGTGTGTGTAGATTCTGTTCTTACCTAAGAACAAATCCCAAATAAGAAAACACTGGTGAATGTCAGAATCTTTGTGGGTTTTAGGAATAAATTTCTTCTTAAGAACGGTTGGTGAATGAGGCCCATTGTTCTTTTTTTGTAAGCAGCACTTTGCTGATTGTGATTTTCATGCATAATCAATTCAAAAGCACTAATAAAGCTCTATAATGACTCTCCTTAACAGAAAAGTATAAAACTATGAATACCCTGACTCTTGAGTGTCGGCTCTGGGTTTTTGTAAGCCGTGTTCATTGGTTGTTTTTCACTTTCATCACTTGTTTTTCAGTTTATCACTGTAATATGCGTCCCCACCACTAGCAATAGCTCCAATCCACTCCAGAGCTTTTCCTGCAGGCTGCTGGATCCAGCCTGTCCATTCACTGGTAACTGAATATGAAACCTTGCAGTCGATGGTCAGACTCTGGCCTGGACGGACCACCATGGAACCAGGCTGAGTCAGTTCCTCACAGTGAACACCTGTAGATCAAAAACACATAATAGTTATTATATAATATTGTCTCATGTTAGATATAAACATGATTCAAACAGCATTCTGACTGAGTGAAATGTGTTGTTTACTGAGTAACTCACAGGATGCAGCTGCCAGCAGGAGCAGTAGAGATGTAGAGAACATGGTTTGAAGACTTGTGGGATCTTCTTTGTTCTCCACAGCTATATAGCGAGCGTCTTCTATATAAAGAGCGATCTGGTTGGGGGGCTTGCATTTGCTTATCTAATGACCTGTGAGATTCAAAGCTATTTAAGACATGGAGTAGAGGGAAGCAGTTTAATACAGTGCATGTTAGGAACTACTTATCTGCCTTAGTCTTTAACACACTGTTGAAGAAATCTTCCTAAAATGTGTGGAACCATATATGAATCCAAACTGATAACGAATATTTAGAGTAGTGAGAGCATATTGGGTTTTTTACTTCAGGTCTGTTAACCATACTGCTTTGAAAATGTAAACAGCTCACTCACACATATCCACCTCCGAGCCCTCTCATCCCTCATTCCAGTGAACTGCTCCACTCGCTATTGTTGTCATGGACTCCTCTGTTGTCTTCTGTCGTGAATTCCAAACCACTCCAAACTACTCTATGTGTAGAGAAGAGATTTGATAAGAATTCTGCAGAATCACGGTCTAATAATGGGAACAAATTCAATAATATAAGTGTATTAGTGAACAGATGCCCCCTACTGGAATAAAGATTACACATTAGCTCAACCTTATAACTGATGTTCCTTTTAATATGCAGGAATCAAAGAACTGTTACGCCATCATCCATGATTTCCCTTTTCACTGTGGTATAAATATGAGGTGACACAGAAGCCAAATTCTCTTAGTTATTTATCAACATGGGGGAGATTACAGAACACACAAATGAAATGACATAAAAGTGTATTAACCTTTTGTAAATAATGTGTATCCATCAGAAAGAGGAGGTTTCTGAACTCTGGGTTTTTGAAGCCATGTTCATTAGTTAGTATCACTGTGAGAGTCTCACACAGTAATACACAGCTGTGTCTTCAGTCTGCAGATTCTGTCCTTGCAATGTTATTGTGTTGGCTAAGCTGCCATACTTCTACTTCCATAGCTACAGACATGTTCAATCCACTCCAGAGCTTGTCCTGAAGGCATCTTCTTGTACCACCATTTTCTCTCTCTGTGGTTGTCTACCTTTCTTTTTTCTTTTTCCAAAGCAGGGTTTTTGTACAGCTGTCTGTATGAGTTCTATCACAGTGAGCTTCTCTAGCACAGTAATACACTGCAGTGTCTTCAGGCTTCAGTTGACTCATGTGCAGGTAGAGATTAGAGCTGTCCTTGGATGCTGTGAATCTGCCCTGAACTGACTGAGCTGACCTTTTGGCACTTTCAGAATAATAGTAAATAATCCATTCCAGTCCTTTTCCAGGAGCCTGTCGGATCCAGTGCATATAAGCGCCCCCCAAACTGAATCCACTGCAGGCACAGGTCAGTTTGTGGGATCCACCTGGAGCCACTGTTACTGACCCCTCAGACTGTGTGAGAACAACCTGAGAGTGGACACCTAAACATGAGGAGACAGAGAGTCTAAACGAGTTTTTACACGTTTAGATCATTTATCTGGGTCCTCAGTGAAAGAGCTAACAGACTCACATGTTACAGTGAGCAGCAGCAGTAAAGATGTGAAGAACATGGTTCTGCTGTTTTTCACTCAGACCTGCAGGTTCTTCTCCAAACTCACTGTTTCAGCTTCATATGTAGAGAAGAGACTTGATAGACATTTGCATGTCAAGTCAATGATGTGAATAAATTCAGCATTAGACAGTCGGCGCCCCCTACTGGAATATAAATGAAACTCTAGCACTGCCTCATGTTTATCATTCATGACACATTACTGACGTTTCTGCACAAACACACATAGAAAAAAGACAATACTCACTCAAAAATTAATTGTTATTGCCACTAGTATTGATACATGCAGGTGCAGGTGTTCATGATGAACATTTATAAAACCCTTGGAAAGTTTGGTTACATTAAATTTTGATTACATTCTCTTTTCTTTTTTTCCCTGTATTCTCTGTAACACATTTTCTGGTGATTTATTACAAATGTTTGTGTTATTTACAAAAATACAAAAAATTAATTTATTATACATTAATTGGTTCATTTATTTTTTGGGAGAAATCAGAGAGCGTGCCCTAAATTTCCAGGCAAAGCAGACATTAATTACATTGAATTATTCATTGTTCAACATCAAGGAATAAAGCAGAAAAAATATTGAACAAAAAATAACACAGAACGCTATCACGTAAAAAGCAACTAATCAGAAAACAACTAACTGTAAATTTAATTATTTATTCATTCATTCATTCATTCATTCATTCAGAATATAGTGTGCCTACCCTGTGCCTTGGGAGTTCTAGGTGGCTGCTAAGAACTACATATTGTTTTTTTGTTTGTTTGTTTGTTTGCTTTTTTTTGTTTTGTTTTGTTTTTGTTTTGTGTTATGGGTTTTGGTAGGTGGTCACTATGCCCTCTCAGGTAGTTGCTTGGTGGTTTAAATGGTGCTCCAGGTGGTTGGAAATGTTAATTCCAGCACGAATAACAACTCAGTGTCATAGAAATCTTCCCAAAACATCTTCATAATGTGGGAGTATATATGATATGAAACAGATAATGAACATTCAGGGGAACATAGTCATGCATTTGCTTCAATTATTTTAACAACACTGCTCTGAATATTTAAACAGCTGCTTCTACTCACTTGTTTCAATGAGCTACACTGCTCTCTGTTGACTCTGTTGGCTTCTAGTGTGAACTTATGTCATTCACCACAACATATTGCTGCACAATATCCATGTGTGGATACAACACTGTACAAATTTACAACACTGTACAAATTTATAAAATTATGTATGTTGGGCCCAATATTACATCATGCTATGATTATTATAATCCACTGGCCAATAAAGTTTTTTTAAATTAATGTGACATGCCGTCATTTTATTATAACATTAAAAAATTGATAACTAATGTCTGTCTTCTTTCTCACTCACTGTGTGTGTTTGTGTGTCTTTGCCTTGTTTTTCTGCTCCTCTCTTCACTTGCAATGGTTTTTGTACAGCTGTCTGTATGAGTTCCACCACAGTGAGTCTCTGGCACAGTAATACACTGCAGTGTCTTCAGGCTTCAGTTGACTCATGTGCAGGTAGAGATTAGAGCTGTCCTTGGATGCTGTGAATCTGCCCTGAACTGACTGGGCTGAACCTTTATCAGAGTCAGTGTAGTGGTGCATGATCCATTCCAGTCCTTTCCCAGGAGCCTGACGGATCCAGTACATCCTGTAGCTGCCCACAGTGAATCCACTGCAGGCACAGGTCAGTTTGTGGGATCCACCTGGAGCCACTGTTACTGAGCTCTCAGACTGTGTGAGAACAACCTGAGAGTGGACGCCTGGCAATGGAGAAAAATAAATAGAACATGAAAAGCTCCAGTCAAAGTAATGAATGAACACCGTCAATAATGCACATGAAAGTCGTTGTTGAAAAACAGGAACTCACATGATGTAACTGCAAACATCAGCAGCAGGAATGTAGGAAACATCATTTGTTATGAAGATAACCTGATGGGTCTCCTAACTGGGGTCAATGGTTCGAAGTGGATGTTTCTCTTCAGTCTGCTCCTTTAAAAGGGAAGAAGTCTGTCATTTTATTTGCATCAATGCTACCAGCTGATCCAGGCTGTTCTGCAACAGCGAGCCAAACATAGTAGTAGAGTTCTTGGGTGCAATAAGAAAACTAAATTCAAAGCTCTAATCAGTATTTACATTTACATTTGCAGCATTTAGCAGATGCTCTTATCCAGAGTGACTTACAAAAAGTGCTTTGTCTATCCAGAGAAAGTATCTTTGCTAGTTACCAATAGGTTAGAGAGAAAGTCAGTCCTGAGCTCAGATACTGCTAGAATCAGAAAGTCATTATTGACACCTAGAGAAAAAAGAACAGAGTTAAACACAGAGCAGTGCAGTGCAATACAATACAATACAATACAATACAATACATAAGTGCAGTACAATACTTTACAATCAATACTTATCAGTATAATGATCATATCTGCCCTGAGACTATATAGTTGTTATAACAACAGGAGGAATCTGAAAATCCCAAATGCATTAACTGAAATAAGTAAAGAAACCAAAAACATACCCATGTTTCCTGCTCTTTAATTCAGTGAAGTAAGTTTCTAGTAACTTTTTTTTAAAGTGTCTTATTATTATTATTATTATTATTATTATTATTATTATTTATTTTTACTTAACATATTCTCCTCATGCCAAGGCTTAGGTTTATTAATCATGATAATGATTAGTGTGTTTAATTCTGTTTAATTTTATGAGGTCAGCCTGTGGTGCTAGCATTGTGGAAAACTTTGTTGTTTTGAACTCTAAACAGCTTTTGATTGGTCCACCATAAGCACACAAAAACCTAATTAAAATTCCTTGAAATTGGTGATTCTAGTTATTCTGATGATTATTAATTATGGTCCAATAATTAGTGCTATTTGACACCAATGTTCATGCAGTGCTCTCATCAGCAGAGTGAACAAACATATTAACCTATGATTAAGTGACCCTTATTAGTCCCATAACAGGGAAATTTCACCTCTGCATTTATCCTGTCTGTGCAGTGAAACACCACAGACACACTAGTGGGCAGTGAACATACTGGCCTGGAGCGGTGGGCAGCCCTATCCACGGCACCCAAGGAGTAATTGGGGGTTAGGTACCTTGCTCAAGGGCACCTCAGTCACATTCTGTTGGCTCAGGGGATCAAACCAGTGACCTTCCGGTCACAAGGCTGGTTCCCTACCCTCCAGCCCATGACTGCCCTTGTACTACATGTTTTGAGTACACAGTGGTCATTTGTATTTTCTGAGGCAATCTTTTGCCACTTCATACTGAAGAATTAAATCAAATCATGTTATTTTGATTACTTTAATTATTTAGTTACGTTAACTTAATAACACTAAGTGAAAGAAATAAACATTATGATTTCAGTGTCTGTAAATATGTATCACATTCCTCAGTACTTTAATTAGTAGGTATGTTAAATGAATATGTGAAATTAGCACTGAATTTGTATGTTCTACAAACTGAATCTTGATTTTATGATCTTTTTTTGGATTCTCCCAATTTTATGCCCAATTCCAATTCCACCCACTAATTAGGACTCCCCCAATCACACCATACCACCAGTGCTAGGAGGGCGAAGGCAAACACAGGCTTCCTCCGAGTCATGTGAATCACCACCGCATCTTTTCGAACTGCCGCTCACGCAACATTATTGGACAGCCGAACGCTGTCAATTCTGTTACGTCAGCTAACAGACACCTGTGCTGACTAGCATCACTCTAAGTGATGAGGAAGAGGCGGGGCCATCCTACCCACCCAGAGAGCGATGCCAGTTGTGCTCTCTTGGACTCTCTTGGGCTGTAGCATCACCAGGGATCTAACTCGCGATCTCCTGATGATAGAGCCAACGCTTTGACAGCTGTGCCACTTAGGGGCCCCAAAATCAATATCTTGATTGTTTTGAGTTCTGCAAACTTGCTTTTATTGTAAAGATAAGTCTAAATTAAGAAAGCTGCAATATTTTTTCATGCCTTAATTTATTTAATGATTGTAAAAAGAAAATTTCTCCTGGCTGGCTCTCCAGCTGTAAAGAAGTTCAGTTTGAACTTTCTGAACAATTACTTTCAATGAAAGCAGCAATGAAGCATGTAAGGATTGCCCTTAACAATTAGTTTTCCTTACAGTTCATGGCCGCAAAAGGTATCTTGAATGTTATTGTCTTCTGCTAATATAATATAATGATGTAAAAGTCTGTATTTCCTGCTTGAGATCATCCTCAAATGTGCACTCCCAGCTTCATTGTATAACTGCTTACATCTGTCAACATGCCTCTACAGGAAACATGATGGAACATGTTTGTACAGTTTTCCCTTTGATGAACTTTGATGAGCCATGAATGTTGTTGCTTCTTTCCGTGCAACCAGAAAGTGATCCATTCTAGTCATTTTCTAGATCTGCTGGATCTGGACATGCTCCATAAAACATGTTTGTTCTGTATAATGGGAGTTAAATAAGACCTTTTCAATGATATTAAGAATGCTGCGTTGAAGTAATTAGAAACAGATTAGACTAGCTTACTTTGTCAGATATGGGGCGCATCCTACTGGACTATAAATGAAACATGAGGTCAGTCATTTCTCAGCATAATTAATAGTGACATTTAATTGGATATGCTGGAGATACTCAACATTACAATTAGCAAGTGTGAACTTCTACTGTTATACTAATGTTGTGGATCTGTTTTGTGTTATTTGTAAAAAAAATAATGTACAATTAATTAATTAAAAAAAATTCAAAAACATTGTGTATTTCATTGGAGAATAACAGTTAGAACAGCTGCAAAGAGTTGTGGCTGATTGTTTTGTTCGCTCATCCAGTTTGAATGAAACTTGTCTCTTACTATCACAGATGTTGATGAGTTTTTGTACAGAGCTCCCACTGAGCTGCACTGCTGTGTCTCTTCTTGCACAGTAATAAACAGCCGTGTCTCCAGTCTCCAGGCTGCTGATGTCTAAGAACAGCACGTTACTGCTTGTGTCTCTGGAAATTTTGAAGCGACTCTTGAAGGAAGCTCCAGTGTCTACAGCTCCATTTCCCCAAATGATCCCGATCCACTCCAAGGCTTTCCCTGGAGGATGTCTGATCCAGCATGTACCATACTCAGAGAGACGATAGCCAGAAACCTCACAGGACAGCCTCACTGATCCTCCAGGAGGCTTCAACTGAGCAGGAGACGAGCTCAGACTGATTCCATGAACATCTGAGAGGAGGAATCAGGTCACAGAGAACATTAAACACACTGCATTTCATCTTAAACTGAAATCTACAGTGTATAAATGAGACTAAAGTCCACTTACATGGTAAGAAGGCCAGCAGCAGCAGAGAAGTCCAGCTCATCATTGCTCTGAAAGTATCTGTGATCATGTGGTTTGCTAGAGGATGTATATCTAGAGTGTGGATCTGTATTATATACACATTGTGACAGTGTCTGACCTGCAGTGGAGCTGGACTGGATATTTACATACTGCTCATTTCAGATGATTAAGGAGGGACATTCAGATGGGTTTCCACCATAAATGCAGCAAGGTTTAACTGTAGGGCAGGGTTCATAAGCCCTTCATAACAACCAACATAGATCTACATAAACTTGTAATGTCAGAAAAAAACAGTGTCACCTCAAATATGTAGGTGTTATAACAACTAGACATTCTTTCAGACTGATGTCTTTTAGAATTAGTCTTTATTAAGGTTTATATATGTTCATGTCAGTGTATGTAGGTGTCAAGTAGACTTATGGACGCTGCCCTACAGTAGTGTCACCCAAAAGGCATTCTTAAGTGTGTTTCTGTGATGCACTATGTGAACTACGGATTCTCCAAAACATCTATTACATCCGTTACTTAACAGAATCAGCAGATAAAAGAACTAGATGTGCATTACATGATGTTGACGTTATTATAAACAGTGGTGGACGAAGTACACAAACCATGTACTTGAGTTAAAGTAGAGATACCCAAGGTAAAATATTATTCCAGTAAAAGTAGAAGTTCCTCCCTTTAGACCTCCACTTGAGTAAAAGTACAAAAGTATTTGCCTTCAAATATGCTTAAGTATCGAAAGTGAAAGTACTAAAAGATTAATTATGACTCTAATGTCCTATTATCATTTTTGTAACAAGACTTTTGCTTTATCAACTCATTTTAGGTGAAAATACTCCAGTGTCACTCTTGGTAAACCAATCTTTTAATAGAATGTCATTAATTAGTCTGACACTGATGTTTATTAAAATTATCATAAGCACAAAACACTGAAGGCAAACAATTTCCATTAGGTAGAACTGAGTGGGGTGGCACGGTGGTGCAGTGGGTAGCGCTGTCGCCTCACAGCAAGAATGGCCTGGGTTCGATTCCCGGCCGGGCGACCAGGGTCATTTCTGTGTGGTGTTTGCATGTTCTCCCCGTGTCTGCATGGGTTTCCTCCGGGTACTCCGGTTTCCTCCCACAGTCCAAAGACATGCAGTCAGGCTGATCGGACGTGCTAAAATTGCCCCTAGGTGTGAGTGTGTGTGTGACTGTGTATGTCTGTCTGTCTGCCCTGCGATGGACTGGCGACCTGTCCAGGGTGTATCCTGCCTTCTGCCCAATGACAGCTGGGATAGGTTCCAGCACCCCACCGCGACCCAGAAGGATAAGCGGTTTAGATGATGTATGTATGTATGTATGTAGAACTGAGTGGCTCTGAAATAACCTTTTGCAAACAAGCAAAGTTTCAGTTTAAGTTTTATTTGTAAGTTTAATTTTAATAAAAAATTTTAAACACAGGTTCACAAATGAGTTTTCCTTTACTATATTGCATCTGTAGGTCTCTGTTCATAAACATAAACTAGCAAAAACAAATTCACAACAAAATGAAATAGTGTTTGTATACATTCAGACAAAAGAAACATGTCAGTCACAACTGCATGTGGTACATATTTCTATATTGTGGTCTATTTACACAAAGTTAGGTAAGAGTCAGGAGTTTCTTCCATCATTTATGTTGAATAGACACTCTCAAAATTTACACTGCTGCACTGACGTTGAACTGCATGCTTGCACTGTGTCGGTATGTCCAACAGGTCAAAACAAGCTCAAAACAAAGTGCATGCTGTGCCCTGATTGGTGTTCTTGCTTCACACTTCTTTCGTTTTGACATGTTATGTTTTTATGCACACATAAATCAAAGGGAATGACAGATTTTGCATAATGTAGTGGAGTAAAAAGGAAGATATTTGACTTTGAAATGTAGTGGAGTGAAAGTAAAAAGTCATCCAAAATGGAAATACTTAAGTAAAGTACAGATACACAAAAAAACGACTTAAGTACAGTAACGAATTACATTTACTTCGTTACTGTCCACCACTGATTATAAACTGTTTGCTATTATGTATTAAATCTCTACCACTTCAGTTTTCTTCTTCCATATTTGCTGTACTGCTATTTGTAGTGTTTACTAAATAGTTTTGATTATGTGAATAAACACAGTGTGTACTTTGCACCATTTTATTACGTGTTACCTTGCTTTGTTTATGTATAGTCTTCAAAATAAGGATGTCATGAAGCGTTCTTTGTATGATATTGTAGAAGAAAACTTTTGGATCTCTAAAAAAACCTTTCAAAAGAAGATTCTTTAGAAAGCCATTGTTTTTCATGAAAACTGATTGTGAAGAACCTCCACACAATGTGTGGTTATCTGATTTTCGGATGGGAACTGTATTTGTGGTCTACCAAGTCTTGCATGTTTGTTAGTAGTCACACTTGTTTTTAGGGGCCCAAGTTTCTTTAAGTTTGCTCGCTATGAATAAATTGTCTCACAAAATGCAGTGTTGCCCCTTGTGGCTCACCATGAGACCATCTCCCTTCAACTCAGAAGGTGCTCGGTTCAAATCCCACCTGAGCTGTCCTTGCCAAAGCAAAGGAAACTTGAAGCAGCGGGAAAAGTTGTATTTTGAGAGCTTGTAAGACAATGAATGTTAATATTTATCGAAAACCTAAGATGTTAATGGAAGCTTATAGTGCTAATGAACACTGATGGTGCTTGGACCCCTATGATTGCCGCTTGCGGCTATATTTTAACTTTTTTTCCTTTGTTTTTTTTTTTTTTTTCCCATGCTAGTGGATTATCTTATGTCTAATCTCCTCAGAAATATCCCCTGAAAAATGTTTTACTTGTACTTGATGGTCATTTTGGCAGTACATTAAATAAATGAAGGATAGTCTCTTTGCTTAGTGATGTATATTATTAAATTAGTATTATTTAGGAGTATGTTTCCAAAACTTATCAGTGCAGCCAAGGTTTTGTTTTCTTGCCATTACTCTCTTGCTTGAGCTGTTACAGAGTTCAGTCTCCCTCTGTTTATCCTGTGCTCTAGTTTGTGTACAGCTGTCTGTATGAGTTCCACCACAGTGAGTCTCTGGCACAGTAATACACTGCAGTGTCTTCAGACTTCAGTTGACTCATGTGCAGGTAGAGATTAGAGCTGTCCTTGGATGCTGTGAATCTGCCCTGAACTGACTGGGCTGAGTATTTGCTACTTTCAGAATAATAAGCAATGATCCATTCCAGTCCTTTCCCAGGAGCCTGTCGGATCCAGTGCATCCAATAGTCACCCACACTAAATCCACTGCAGGCACAGGTCAGTTTTTGGGATCCACCTGGAGCCAATGTTACTGAGCTCTCAGACTGTGTGAGAACAATCTGAGAGTGGACACCTAAACAGAGACACAAAGACACAGCAGGTTAAATATGGTTGGTCAGTTTACTGCATTAATCTGGTTCCTCATTGAGAGAGATAACAGACTCACATCCTGCAATCAGCAGCAGCAGTAAAGACGTGAGGAACATGGTGTTTGTGGATCCAGAGCTGGTTAGATTAGCAGATTCTCTCCACATTCTGTCCCTCATGCACTCTACATATGGAGAAGGAGGTTGATGAAAAATTTGCATAACAAGTGAAAAACTGCTGATCTGGCATTAAGAGAACAGCAGACAGGATTGCTTTTGTCAGTAAAGGGTGCCCCCTACTGGAATATAAATGAAACGTTCAGATATTGAGATATTACAGAATCATGTTTAGAGTGTTGAGTCCAAGCTGCCTATGCTTTTAGTCTATAAATTCAGCTTTGTGGAACTGAAAGTGAACCAACCTTAGTTGCCCAGGTCCTGTAAAAAAAAATAACAAAAAAACCCTGTAAAAAAACTGTGCAGACCTAATCAGACAACTGATCACATCTTGCCTCGAGACTAAGTTATTGGTATCTGATTGTGAACTGAAAAAGGTGTCACTTAATTTTTTTAATTTTTGATTTTATTCACTTCTGACTGGCTTTCTCATCAAATGACAGTACAACCAATTTATTATCCTTTCCAATGATATGACGAATGCTGCTTTAAGATATTGACACATAGATTAAACCAATTTGCTTCTTGAGAGAGGGGATTTCCCTACTGACACACAAAACATGAGTTCCATCATTTCTCAGCATCACTCAGAGTGTTACTGTGTCTCTGCTTATCATTTATTCTGGGGATACTCTAAACATCACAGTTATCACGTGTTAAGTCCTACTGTAATACTTCCACTGAGCTCCCACTTTATTACTGTGCAAAATCTATGAACAGTAATAAACAGCCGTGTCTCCAGTCTCCAGGCTGCTGATGTCTAAGAACAGCACGTTACTGCTTGTGTCTCTGGAAATTTTGAAGCGACTCTTAAAGGAAGCTCCAGAGTCTATAGATCCACCACCCCAAATGATCCCGATCCACTCCAAGGCTTTCCCTGGAGGCTCTCTGATCCAGCCTGTACTGTAGTTAGTGAGATGATAACCAGAAACCTCACAGGACAACCTCACTGATCCTCCAGGAGGCTTCAACTGACTGTTGTATAAAAGCACTCGAGGTCGTGTGTTACCGCGAATAATATCACGGCTGTGATGATCTATGACCAAATCACAGCCGTGATGTTATTTTGCGATAACACAAAACCTCGAGTGTTCTATTGCTTAATAGTAGCATTCAGATGGAATGAAATGTGTTCTCTACTGAGTAACTCACAGGATGCAGCTGCCAGGAGGAGCAGTAGAGATGTAGAGAACATGGTTGGTGTTGAAGTTGGACCTGTGGGATCTTCTCTGTTCTCCACAGCTTAAAGAGAGGGTCAAAGGTTAATAGATGGAGATCCTGGGCGGGAGCTTATATCTGCTTGTCTAGTGATCCATGAGAGTCCAAGCTATTCATGACAAGGAGAGGCTCAGCATGTGCAGAACAGAGGATGTTTTTGAGGGAGCAACACTTTTCTACTTCGACTTTACTTTTCAATAAATTATTAAATTAGCAGCGCTGTTACATGGCATTTATTTTAAGATGAGTTGATTTCACAATAAAATAAAGAACACAGTGCTTTACAGTGAAAAAATACTCATGAACGTTTTAAAATCTTGGTTACAATGAATGGTGTTTATTTTCAGCAAATCCAGAATCAAAGACCGTAAACTTGGTGAGGTTCTTCATGGTGAAAATCCAGTTGAGATGTGTTTGTACTTAACAATTCTCTTTTAGTCTTCCTAAAAACCTGCGTCCCTTCATCCCTATACAGTGATGTAAAGCAATGTCACAGAAAAACAGTTTGGTTCCACAAATGAACCTTTACTGTAAATGAGACGTGCAAGATGTGTGTGTTCAGTACCAGTTGTTATATTACCAAGATTTTGATAAGACTTAATTTAGAGAGTTTGTAGATCTTCTCCTTTTCTTTAACTTTCAACAAAATGTATATCAACTGCAACTGAATTCTGTAGTTTAGGATTAGAATTTATGTTGTAAAAATGTTTTTTGGGGTAATATTTTACTTGAAGCCTGCTACAAAACATTAATTTACCATGTCATAATATGTCATTATATTTTATGATGTCATGGCAGATTTTGTACAGTAATACTACAGAGTCATGTTACAATTACCTGTAATTGTTGTGGTAGATGCTTTTATGTTTGAAGTATTAAAGGTTAACAAGAAATAAATGACATAAGCTGACATGGAATATTACAGCATCTGTCATGAAAATTACCAATAAAGGACACAAATATATTACCAGGATTCAAGTAAAGTGTGTTTTATTTTGTGTGTATTTATTATATTTTTTTATTTATTTATTTATTTTTTATCAGTTTGATTGTATGGATTGTCTGATATTTGTATGCATGAAATAAGACAAAAATGACCATGGAGAAGGATGCTGAGATGAACATGTGAGCTGTTGAGGGTGTTTTTGTTCAGGTCAGCTGGGTGGTTATAACGCTGTGGCTCTCTGGCGCAGTAATAAACAGCTGTGTCCTCAGACTGAAAGTTCTGGCCTTGTAAAAACACTGTGCTGCTGGACGTGTCCTGACTGAAACTGATCTTGCTCTTCACTGTGTCTTTGATATTAGTGCTACCACCACTACACAAATATCCAAGCCATTCCAGTGCTTTCCCAGCAGGCTGCCGTATCCAAGTAATACAGTAGCTCGACACTGAGATCTTACAGGAGATGGAGAACGATTCTCCAGGTTTTACTACCTTAGAAGCAGCCTGAGTGAGCTCCACACAGTCTACACCACCTGACAATAACAATTAGAGAACATGGAGTCAATTCATTTCACAGCTATGTGTAAATTCTCAATTCAAAACTAATCAAAACTGATCTAATTCACCCAGAATGGAGACTTACCGAGTGCTGCTATCAGTAACAACAGTAGCACTGAGGAGGTCATTATTGTTTTGTGTTAAACTAAACTGAATGAAGCTGCTCTTCTCCTCCTCAGCAACACAAGCAAGCCTTTTATGTAAGAGGGGCAGGTGGAGGATTTGCATGTAGAGCATCATATTCACTATTATTATCTCACATGCACTGTGTTTCACTCCCTGAATATTCCATGCTTGGACGACTTGCCTCACCTCTTTCCAATAGATAATTATGCCCTAGGATTATTAGAAGTTTTTTTTTCCCTTCTTCTGTAAATTTGACATTTTGGAGATGTAAAGTTTTGTTAACTGCTGCATATCAATAAACTGTAGGCAACAAACTATCTGCAACTGTGATGTTTGCTTCACAAAAGTGTTGCTGTCAAATCAGAATTCTTTAATAACCAGGTTTTGGTAGTACAGGACTAATACCTTTTTAAAACCCAAATAAAATCTACACAAATATATTCATTTACGTATTCATTTATTCAGCTACAGATCATGAAATTCAGTCCACACGGCTACAGAATATTCACATATAGAGTGCTGGCTTGTCAAAGTCTGATAAAAATTATATCAAAACCAGAATTATATTACTGTTTGGTTTTTTTATGGTCAGCAGTACCTGAGCAGTAGATCGGGCAACACTTTATTTGGTCCCTAGTAGATGTCTTATAGATGCTTATCTTGCATTTAACTTTCATTCATCTAAATATCTATTAAATTCAACTTGATTTTCTAACACTAACCTCTCGACCTCACTCTCAAACCTAAATCTACACCTCACCTCGGTCCTAAACTTTGCCGTGGTACTAATCCTAACCCTGGTCCTAACATTGCTGAGAATCAACAAAGTTTCATAGATACTTTATTGATAATTTGGATGTCTAAACATAATGTACTGGAACCAAGGTTTGTACATCTTCTCATTTTTCTATGTGTTTGTGTCCATGTTGAGCTTGTGAACGCTACCGAGTTGGGGGAGGATATCAATTGTTTTTGATCAAAGATTACAGAGCTTTGTTTTATCAACAAATGTTTTGGTAATAAATTGCAAGTCCTTTGATTTTTGTTGGATTAAAGAATGGATTATTGACTGATGCAAACAATGCAGTATTATGTGTTTTGCTTTAACCATTAATGTACAGAGTATAAGTTGCACTGGTAACAATTTACATTCAGTAATCTGTACCATTTTTAAGTAACCCTCCCAACCCTGAACATGTCAATCACACGCTGTCATGATTTGTGATGACAGATTATGTTGTGTAATGTAGAATTGTCATGTTTACATTACCAGTAATTGTTAAGACATGTATTGTAAAGATGCTGGAGTGATGTAATCATATCTAAATAGAGTACACTGACCAAAACTAGATTGTGTCCTGTCATGATATCAGTTATTATGCCATCTGTCAAGACAATTAGGGGTAATGATAACATGGCAGCATATGACATCTATCCTGATATGCTTTTAGCATTTTTTATTCACTTTTTGAAAACACTTATTGTAATTTATATTAATCCAACTATGAGCAGCCAGACTGAAATAGTTTATTAGTGACCTTGAGTGGTGCTTTGGGGTTTTTGTAAGCCGTGTTCATTAGTTAGTGTCACTGTGAGCCTTTTGCACAGTAATACACAGCTGTGTCTTCAGTCTGCAGATTCTGTCCTTGTAATGTTATTGTCTTGGTTCCAGTGTCTCTGGAGAAGCTGAACTTGTTTTTTAGTTTGTCACTGTAATATGTGCTCCCACCACTACTGAAATAGCCAATCCACTCCAGAGCTTTTCCTGCAGGCTGGCGGATCCAGCCTGTACCATAGCTTGTAACTGAATATGAAACCTTGCAGTTGATGGTCAGACTTTGGTCTGGACGGACCACCATGGAACCAGGCTGAGTCAGTTCCTCACAGTGAACACCTGTAGATCAAAAATACAAAGTTACTAATGTTCAAAATGTTACACAATAGCTTAAAGACAGACGCACTCTGACTGAGTGAAATGTGTTGTTTACTGAGTCACTCACAGGATGCAGCTGCCAGCAGGAGCAGTAGAGATGTAGAGAACATGGTTGGTGTTGAAGTTGGACCTGTGGGATCTTCTCTGTTCTCCACAACTTTATAGAGAGTGCCTCATATTCTAAGTACACAGAGATCTGAAAGGTGGGGGGAGCTTGTATTTGCTTATCTAGTGATCCATGAGAGGCAAAGCTATTCATGACCTGCAGTAGAGGTCAGTAGTTTAATACATCAAATCTTAAGAACAACCTCTCTGCCTGTTTTCAACAGATATAAGCAACACTTTTATTTAAAACTGGTAAACTGTGTTTCCTGAAGAAAATGCTGAGTGATTGCGCAACTTAAGAATTTCCCTGGTATCGCTAGGTTGTTTCTTGGTTGTTGCTGTGGTGTTTCTTATTATTTTCTATGTTATTTCATGTGATTGCTTAGCAGGGGCTATGGTATTGCATGTGGTTCCTAAGGTGTTGAAAGATAGTTGCTATGATACCTCAGTTTTTTTGAACAGTTGATATTATATTCCAGGTAGTGGTTATGGTGGTATTGTGGTTGCTATAGCATTCCAGCTGGTTTCTAAGGGGTTGATAGGTGACTAGCAGATGTTGCTAGGTTGTTAATAGGGCACTGCTAGGTGGTTTCTATGGTGTCTCTCATGGTTGCTAGATGGTTGCTGCGGTTGGACAACATATCCAGAAACACAGTGTATTAGAAATGTTGCCTTGAAGCATCAACAAAGTGTATATGCATGTAAAAAAGTTAACTGATAATGGACATTCAGAGAGACTGAAAACACTACTCTAAATATTTAAACAGCTGTTTTCCAACTCTAATTCCTCTCATATCTAACTCCATCCCTGATCTCCCCTTGATCCAATGAACTGTACACCTCCCATGTTACTGTACTCTCCCCATATGCAATATAAGACAATGCAAACCTCTGAAATGATGTATTTTTGTCTCGCTTCCCTCCAGCCCCACTGTCACCACTTCTCAGCCTCTAGACTCCATTTCCCAGAATGCATTGTCAGATCACATGACCCCAGACCGCCCTTACGTGACTCCCCACTGCTCTGCTTGATTATTGATTCAGGTCATCTGTTTAACACACCATTTAAACCTCCTCAGTTTGTCTGTTCATTGCCAAGTATTGTCTTTGTTCCACAGAGCATTACTGAGCCTTCTAGTACGTTAGTTTGTCTGTCCATTTATGAACTTTACTTTGTTTATTTTGACCTTTCACCTCAGTCTAGCCCTGTGTGTATTGTTTGTATTTCTGGTTTGGACCTTCTCTTCTGGTTTATGGACTCTGTTTGTTGGATTGGCCCTATGATTACTGTGTTCTTGATCTGCCTTTTGAC